GATTGCCCCCGCATTACGGTCCCATCAAGTCGTTTCGCATTTCCTTGTAAGCCTGTCAACATCTGAATCCTGGATCTATGTGCCAAATGATCACATTAATCATACAACACAACATCTCAAGGTATTCCTGCCTCACTAATGCATCTGTGAATGCTTCAGAAATAGTACTCAATGTTTCATCATCATCCCAAATGCATTACTGCTATGCATTGTAATTATTATAATTAAATCCTAAACTACATCAGTAGACGTCTTCCTCTCACAAAAAGTGCTTTAGCGCACTGCATTCTGCCACCGATTTGGTTCATGTTACTATTCAAGGGAGTTAAAAATGTCAGGGTGATACAAATGTTCTGAGAATGGAATTTGTATAAGTAAATAATATAAAATTCATAAAAATAACTATAAAATAAATGTCAGATTGAACTGTCCTGAGAATGAAATTCCTATAAATAAATAAATAACATAATGTATAATACTTACAAATGTATTTATATAATAAATGACAGGCCTATATAACATTTTTTTTAAAAATCAAGTCATTTATGATTTATGAATGGCATTTCTGAAGTATTTTTGTCCAACCAACAAGCAGAAAAAACTAAATCAGAAAGAACACCTGCAGACTCTCCTGACTTTGTGTCAAGATCTCTTAAAATATGAGATAAGTTGAACTTTTTAGGTTAGCTCAAGCTGTAAAATGTACACTCACATAAGGTGGAAAATGTTACTACATTTACTTGAGGGTTCCACCATATGACAGTTTTAGTATCATTACATTGAAAATAGTCTTGAAAATGGTATACATGTTCTTTAAAACCATATGAAACCAACACAAATACAAAGAGCACATCTCTAGGAACTTTCTAAGTGTTTTTCTTTTCTTTATCGTGGACACTCTTACTTGTCATTGACCCAAATGCCAATTCGACTTGAACACAAAAGGCTGTGAGTGTATATTTTCAATCTGAAGCCCAGGTAAAACCAGAGCCGTGACAAAACCTCACTGATACAAATGTCAATATGAATTGCTTTCCTAACAATTCTCTGGAACAAACCGGCCACATCTTACATCTACTTTCTTACCCTCAATGCGTAAACTTGCCATCTCTCTCCTCCAGAAATCAATAGCTTCCATTTCTGCGCTGTACGCTGCTGAGTTGTGTCAAGAATATATTAGATAGATTAATATCAAAACAAGCTTTGCCCACACCTCCCCGATTTCCTCTCCATGACAAGCTCTTCTGTTTGTTGCTTATGCAAGCAACTGCTGATTCTACAGAACTACAAAGACAGCCGTTCTCGAGAATTTCTCGAGGTTGTATTTATGTTCAGACAGCACAGAGGGCAACAAAACTTCCAGGCGTAATGTCAATCTCGAAAACTTCGGTGAGCGCTCGAGTTAGGTATAACAGTTAATCCCCAGATGAATTTATGCCACATATTTGATATCTTGATACACGCCGTTCTCTGCAAACCAAAAAAAAAAGGAGGAGATGAACATGATTTTTCGGGCTCTTTTGTGTGAAATCAAATGAAAAGATTGAATTAAGATAAGAGACTGGTAATAATTAATTCTGCTTACACAAGCCCTGCCTTTTATTTATTATCGTTTCCCCTTTCCGAAGACGCCGTTTGAGCTTTTCAAAGCTAAAGAAAGTTTGGCAGGGTCTCTGAAAGTTAGTCCACAGCTCGGGCCCACATAAACATCTCAGTCCTACATTCCACCACCTACTCGATTCAATCTGCCATTATATATTTTTTTGCAGGTACAGCTCGGCCCCGAGGGGGAAAACTCGCTGTGACAAACGCCGAACGGAAGGCTGCATTCAGATGGAGTGTATTCATTACCACACGTCGAGATGTGTAGGAGTGGTTTGTCCGTATCTTACCATCTCATTTCCAACATGACCCAAATTAAAGCAGGAATGCTAGGTGACCTATTGCTACAGGCGACATCTTCTCATACGTAACTCTCACACCGGTCAAAAACATCTGATCTGAAGGTTATAAACTACCCGACACAATCCAGTCATTGTTTCTTTGACTCCTTCTAAAAATAACATTAACATGCGGCCAAACCAAGGGCATTCCAAGTACAGAATCCCCTCAAGTTTATCGCTTGGCGCACACAACGTCGTAAGTGGGCCGGATACAAACAAACGAACATTTGTTTTACCGAAAGCAAGATGTTTTCTTCAAGCCAACTTTCTAAACCGCCACAGAGATAATTAACGGGACACAGCTCTGCCAAATCTTACACGAATGACCTTGTGTGGGCAACACGGCCCTGAGTTTGAGAATCTGGCAGCGTTTGGTTTGCCGACTTGAGCGGCTAAAACTCTGAAGGACATCCGCTTAACAAACGGCCTACAAAACGATGCTAATTAAAGGCTGCTTTGTTGCTTTGTCAGGTTTCAGCTAGTGATTAAACATCTTTTATTGAGTTGGAACAGGCAGATGCACATACAAATAGCTATGCTTCAAAAGTGGGGGAAACTTCAATACGGATTGGTTTCTGTCATTTGAAGGGGAAATACTTCAATTGTGCTTGTAATAGCGGGATACTTAGATGTCTGTGATGTGATTCCGTTTAATTAAATATCTGTGGATAATTTGGTCTGGGAATGTCATTACGTCCTTGGAATGGGGGACATGTTTTCCCTCTCATGCTCATTTTACTAATGCATAGGCTTTTATATAAGTACATCTCAGTCTTGTAACGAATTAATATGGCAATGAAGGATCATGGATGGAAGTGTAATTGGACAACCGATTTCCCTTGACGTTTAATGGCCGCTGAAGACAGCGGCCGCGGGGCAGGGGATGAGATAGCCGAGAGGAGAGCTTTTCTGCGGGCTTGTGTAGGTCTGGCGCATGAAGTACTGTCCGTCTGAAAACAATCGGAAATGTAATTAAGAGCTGGCTGCGGCTTTTAAATGCTCGGCTAGAGCGGAAACAAACAGGCGGGGAAGAAGAAACACCCATGTATCGAAAATGTGCGATGTGATCAATAGCCCACAGTTCGGAAAGCATCAAAGGGGGAATGGAGTTTTGCGACTCGCAATTTCTCGCAGAACTGCAGGTTTTCAAAGCAATTTCTAATGTCATTAAACTTCTATTAAAAAGCAGTTAGAAGCCTCTATTTCTCTACGAGTCAGATGTATACAGTTTAAGTAAAATTTTACGAGTTTCCGATCTCTTGGTAAGGAGTAAGGTTAATCAAAACATCAATCAGACATAATTACCCAGCAGTGCCGCATGGACAGCGTTTCAAGGAGATAATAACTATTGTCTTGTAGCAGCAGGGGAATAAAATTCATCTCAAAGCCCGGATTTTCAACACAAGCCTTTTCTCAAGCCCTCAGACAGAACATCCTACGAAGCAGGTGATTGGGCAATTATTGTGCAAATCGAGCCTAGACCCAACAGAGCCATTTCTTAAAATGCAGTTGTAATCTCAACAAAATTACTGGGGAAAAAAAGTGTTTAACAAAGTTTTTTGTTTGTTTTTTTTTGTTACAAAGATAGGTTGGGATGCTAATTAAATGTGTTTATTGTAAACATAATATTGATAAAAATGTGATAAGAAAAAAAATTGCAAGAATAACAGTGTAACAATGTTTTTGGGAAGAAAATCGTAGCCAAATCATAATCAATAATGTCTGAAATTGACCCAAATTGAACCAGTGAATGAATATTGGTGAACTGACGTGTTTTACTGGCATACTAGTATTTGGCTTAATTTTTGCATTTGTTTAGTCTCGTCATCGTTGTTCAGTGTTGTTATTGTTAACTAAAATGCTAAAATGGTTTTGTTAATTGAAATAAAACTGAAATAAAATAAAATATAAATATTAGCAAAACTGACACAACAAAAAAGCAATGTTGTCTTGTCAACTAACTGAAATCAAGTTTAAGTTGAAGTACTAAAATTAGACGTATAAAAAAACTTAAAGAAAAAATACAAAAGTCCACATTACTAAATCTAAAAAGTTAACTAAAAACATAAATATAAAAGCTAATTCAAAATACTAAAAACTATTAAATAATACTAAAATAGCACTGATGATCTATCAAATTAAATGTCATAACCAGACTAAAATGGTCAATAAAATATGACTAAATATTGACTAAATTTAAAGAACATTTTCACCAATATACAAAAGCCATGATCAAATTATAAAAATGTGTAAAAATAAACACAGCATTGTTCTCAGAGCATTATTACGGTTTGTTTGCTGCTCCTTTGGTCATTCAGGTCTGGTTCGGTGCTAACAATCACACTGAAAACTTTCAAAATGTATGCACGTGTGCACTGGAGTTAATTATACCACATGTAATTTCGGCGCATTAATACTAACTACACCCACACACACACGAAGCTATTTTGTTGGAGTATTTACAACGGTGTCCATAATGAAGCTCCCTCCAGCTCATAAAGAGAAGCATCTCCACTGCCAGCAGCTCAGGAGTAACCTCCAAAGCCCATTTCATGTTGTCGCATATAAATATTCATTAACAGAGTGGGGAAACCAGCTGTTTCTCCCAATTAATCTGTGCAGAGATATGCCATTTGCCAATAAATTGTTGTTGTATAATTAATGACTCTCAGTGCATGGTGACAACTAGAGAAACAATACCTCATTTAATATTGAGATTTATATTCATAAACTTAGCAAAAGCAATCGGCTAATCAGCTTGAGTAATAAACGAAGCTGCGTCCCAAGGGGATGTGGGAAAACTTTAGCCGCATACCCGAGAAGTCAGCCACCCTGCATCCCACCAGTCTAGATAAATCAAGATGTCAGGAGATTTCTACATCAAAGCAGATGTCCCTCCCTGCTTCTCACTGACCATGTTAACAGGCTACACACAAGCCGGCGGTGGGAAGCGACGCGGCGAGGACGCACACTTCAAACAGCAAACAAGCCTGAGCTGAGATCATTATCTGGGCAGGTTGAAAACACTCCGGTCAGGGGAATTCTTATGGGACTTACCATCAGGAGGAGGAGCCGGTGTGAAGTGAACAGGTTTATCTGCGGAGGAAGAAGAGAGAGAGAGAGAGACACATTAGTTAAAAGGAAGACATCCGGACGGTCCCAGGCAGTCAGCAGTCGTTTCAAATGAGTGGGTGGACAGTGGACTACATGACTCTTTCACAGAGGTTAAATCTCAAAAAGAATAGATTAAGAGAGATCAGTTGGAATATGAGATTAAATACAACTTGAGCTCTATCGACAGCATCCGTGGCGTGACATGCTGTCAAATGTGTTTGCAGTAATGCACTTACAGCACTGAAATAAATGTTAAAAACATAATTTTTCAATAAAAGTTTGGGGGCAGTAAGATTTGTATTTATTTATTTTTTGAAAGAAATTAATACTTTTTATTCAGTAAAGGCGCATTATATCAAAAAGTGTTCAAGTGATCAAAAGTGACACGATTTTCTCAATATTTAGATTTTTTTGCACCCTCAGATTCCAGATTTTCAAATAGTTGTATCTCGGCCAAATATTGTCCTGTCCTAACAAACCATACGATAAATGTTTCAGCATATTATATCAGCATATTAGAATGATTTCTGAAGGATCAAGTGACACTGATCTTCAGTAATGCCTGCTGAAATTCTAAAAATATTTCATAATATTGATGTTACTGTATATTTGAACAAATAAATAAAAAAAATGTGTCTTTGTAAACATAAGAGACTTAAAAAAAAAAAATAAATAAATAAAAAAATATATATATATATAAATAAAACTATCTTACTGACCCCAAACTTTTGAACTAGTAATATAGAATTGCATTCACAGGCTGTAGCCTACATCAAAAAGCCACAAAACATGGTTTTCATACAAGGCTAAACCAAATGTTCTTGGTCAGACATTGAAATGTCTTGTTGGACAGATGAATCACCAAAACACACCAAAAAACAACAAACAAATGAAACATTTGTTTTCTGGAGATACTGACTTGATTATCTTGTGATCTTGACAACAATGACTTAATTCTTTCATCATTTTAAAAATCATTTTATTAAAATGTTTTCTTAAATAAAAGTTTTCTGTTGCTTTTTTGTGTCCATTTCTATGCTCATACTGCTGCAACATGGATAAGAAAAATGTAGTTTATTTCAGCAACTCATTGAAGCTGAAACGTTTTTCATTGTGTACTGTTTTTTCTAACTGTATGACATTCGTGAAGGAAGCTACAACTTTATAGTTTTAAACACTGTAGAGACTCTGAACATGTGTTTTAATTTTCATTTTGAACCAATTCAAGGGAATGGAACATCTGCATGGTAATGCTTGAGAAAATGCTTCAGAAATCAACATCGCAAATACAACTTATGTTGAGGTCACAAGAAAATTACAGATTGCAAGAAAACAAGACAGGAAAACAATAATGCTTGTCCCTTGTGAGGAAATCATGACAGAATTTACATTTTTGGGTGAACTATCAGTTTAAGCTGTTACACTAATAAATGTTAAAGGGGTCATATGATGCGATTTCAAGTTTTCCTTTCTCTTTGGAGTGTTACAAGCTGTTCGTGAAAAGATAAGATCCCTAAAGTTGCAAAGACTAAAGTCTCAAACCCAACGAGATATTCTTTATAAAAGTTAAGACTCATCCACGCCCTCCTAAAACGCCTCGTTTAAAAAGGCCCCCACATGTCTACGTCACGATGTGGGAAGATTTGCATAACCCGCCCAAATGTATACGCAAAGAAAGAAGGCGTAACTTTTTTGTTGCTGCCACCGCCACCGCCATGTTGTGAAGACGCTGTGTGTTTCGTTGCGAAAGCGAAAATACTTTATTTGGCTTTCCAAAAGAGGACACGACTAGAAATCAGTGGTTAAGTTTTTACAACACTGTTCCAGAACAGTTCAAACCAAATATTCAGATGCGTGCAACGCATTTTACGGAGGACGTGAGAGTCAATCATGACAGTTACAGCGTTTCATCCTCCGGGAAACATCGCCAGACCTGAGGGTGAATAACACACACACAGATGCATATCATAGAGATAAAACATATACTGCTCACACACTGTAATGCATAACCCTGTGACGCCCCCAAGCACAGCTCTTCTTTCTTATATGTCCAGTGGCAGTAGAGGACAAAACAACTGTCTGTGCAGGTCTCACGGGAACGTTTGTTTCACATGTAAATGATACGCGGCTGAGAAATTCAACGCAAGGTTCACCTCAAGCACATTTGCTTTACTTAAAGAGATGAAAATTGTGTCATCTCTATTCATTATTATGTTGTTGTAAACCTATGCTTTCTTCTGTGGATCACAAAATAAGATATTTATGTCTCAGTGTCTCAGTTCATACAATGAAAATCAAAGGAGTCCAATGCTGTTTGGACTCCACTGACTTTGAAAACATCTTTCTTTTGGGTGAACGTTTCCTTTAAGGGAATCGGCAGGGACCTGGTGATACAATATTACATTGATACTTGGGTCACACTGCAATAACATTGCAATTATTTATGTTAAATTATTCATAGCACAGCTATGTAGGAAATTGTTGCCAGGGACAGTTGACAATTTTACAGTTTAATGGTTGTTATACAAAAATTTGGCCAATTAGTATTTAAAAATGTAAATGTTAAATATTGATAAAACAATATTTTAATTCATGATACTATACCGATATTTTCATGCCAAGAATTGGCAATATTTTCAAGAAAATGGAGATTAACTGATTAACTACAATTTAAATCGGAGCAAATCTAAATAGGTGAAATTGCAATAGGTCAATAAACACTCTATGATTTCCTTTAAATTAAAATTTGCAAAAATGTAAATGTTAAATATTGCTAAAAATAGGAAGGAGAAAAGTATTGCAATATTTTTTATACAATACCAATATTCTCAGACCAAGAATTCACAATATTTTTGTGAAAAGGGAGATTAACCACAATTCAAAGCAAATCTGAGTAGACTAAATGTACTGTAGCATTAGATCAATACAGACTCTATTATTTCTATTCAATCAAAATTCAAACTGAGAACGAGCCAAGAATATAATTGCAGAAGTACTGAAGTAATTAAGAATACATGATAAAGAAGCGAGTGAGTTAATGACTGCAAAATAACTAATCATAAATCAGAATATTATAGAATCAAGTGATTTCATGTCTCACATGTCACTATTTAATGTAAATTTAAATCAATACTGTCATTTCAAATATGCGATTCATATTTTTTTAAATATCCATGTAAAAAGCATAGTAAGGCAGATACACTCTGCTATTTGTGGCCCCAAATAGGCCTAGACCTCAACTTGAACTGTCAGGCAGGCTATCCATCCAGTATGCTAGCCATATGTTTTCATTCAGTGTCTGTCCTCTTTTCCTTTCTGTTTTATTATCTAGTTTGCTGATGTGTATGTATAGGCTGATGGATTTGGTTGTGGAGCTGAGCAGCTCTAGTCCTGTGTGGCCTCTCTTCTCTGTGCCTGCTAAATGAAAATGGAAATGACTAACCTTTGGTCTGTATCCCACTCCAACAAGCTTTGAACGCTATGATGCACCTCTCCATGTTAATGGTACTTCTTTCACTCCGTCCTGTTTTTTACTCTTCTTTGAGGAGCAGGGATGGAGTGCTCTAACTGAGTTTATGTTTAAATCTAATGGAATCTGTCTGGATTAAATCGATTTTGCGACATGGTCGGTTTATAAATGAACCTCACACTCAGACTCCTTTATTGAGGGATGGAGAGGGCACGTTTTTAGAATTTCATGAAGGGCCCTTTTTGGTCTTTTAATAAAGATCTAATGTAGAGGCACCGTGGATCTCTTTAAGTGAGGGCACAGGTAAGATTATGAGAAATGAGGTAGGTAATGGTTTACAGAGGGAGCATTGGGCCGAATGCTCTCTTTTTTTTTTTTTTTCACTGTTTTCTCCTTTCCAGGGCCTTTCTTTCAAAAATACTAAACATATTCCTATCTAAAAAGGTTTAAATTATTATCTCTATACAGAACAAAGTCACATATATTCTTCTATGTAACTATTTAACAGTGTTTTAATATCTACTCAGATGGCCTGAGGCCCTACCAAATGGGCTAATTTAAATTTTGTTGGGTACTTTGTGACCCAATTTGTCAAATATTTCCATTAACAGTACACCAGTGTCTGCAGTGTAATTTCACATGGCATCTTACAAGCTTAATGCTGGAGAACGGCCAAAGACAGCCACTGAACTCAAGTGTAAACAGACCATTTACGTGTGTGTGTGTGTGTGTGTGTGTGTGTGTCTGACAACCGCTGTACAAGCTTCCTGTTAAAAAGTCATCTAAATTTCAATATCATTAAGAATTTAATGAGGCATCACCACTGATGCATAGCAAGACCATTTTCTAATCAATTAAACTTATTTCTCTAGCAGAGCGTACTAACAACATCTTACAAAAGCTCCGAAATCATACTGTAGTCTTAGCTAACGCGTTTCTATGTAACTGAGAATTCACAGAATAAGAAAACCCGGGATGCAGCTGTGCAAAAAGGCAGATAAGACAGGACAGAGATAGTAATACATCTAAAACAGGAAAAGAGCAGCATTACCTGCTGCTCCATTTCATCAAAGCGCATTGTGACATGCTCTGGAGCTCACGTTTCGTCTCCAATCTTTTCTTTGTAGGCACAGTGCCAAAACTATCTGGCAACACACACCGGCTGGCGCGGCACCCTAAGACACCAAAGCGTTTGCAGATTCCCTCAAGCAGATACAGTAAGCACTGACGCTAATGCCAAGCTTTCACATCCAAAGGCATTTAATCTGCCCCCTTTATCCCACTGTGCAGTCTAAATACCACTGCTTCAGGGATGACAGAGCGCCACCGAGCAGTGTTTTTAGACACAAGCGTTCAAGCACTTTGTAGGATAAGGACAGTTTATCTGTGTCATCCTCAATCATTTCACTGTCAGGCAGGGGATCGAAGCCAACGCATTAGGGATTAGTTTTTGATTGCCATCGATCCTTATTGAACCATCCATCCGTCAAAGTGTCTACCCTCTCCCGTCCTG